AACTATATCCTGAGGTAAGTATTCTGCTGTTTAGGCAGGACAGACAGCAAACACACCTTAGGCCAAGCATCCCATAGGTAGTCACATTCTGGGTCAAACCTCCTGCCCTAATCTTGAAGGAGCAATAATAGGCCTGAATTCTCTGACCTTTAGTCAAAGTGGAATGGATCCACATCCAACTGCTCTGACATATTCCACTTTTTAAATTTATTTAATAAAGCCTGTGCTTCTGCCACAAAACAGATGGCTGTGCCTGGCTTAGGTTGTTTCCTTTCACCTTTCAGACTTACCCAACATCAGTACATACATTCCATCATGCATGTCCTGTCTTAAATTGCCTGGAGGGACAAGATCTTACCAGTCATTGACTATCTGCCTCTGTTTTGCAGGGTTAAGGGAGAGCTCATAGCTAGACGTCATGCTCCTCTGAGCCAACATTTCATCGAGAGAGTTTGCAAATAACTAGATAGACAGGTAGATAATGCTTTGTGATATACATGCTCCTATGGCCACAAAACCTCTTAATAAAGGAGTAAATATGGCCTATTTAAGTTGGTCTACCATGTCTTTAGCAATTTTAGTTGCATCAAAATCCAAATTTGTCTTATTAAATGTACCAAATCTAAGGACTTATTGGCATCATGTCAAGTTTTTCCTCAAATAAGATCTAACCTTTTTCTAACCAGTAACATCTTCATAGCAAACCAAAGTAGTTGCAAACATTAACAGTTCAATACCATGATTCTACTGTGAAAATTAACAATAAACACACAATTTGTCATGTCACAATTCTCATAACTTTGTTCTAAACAGAAAACAAGAAAACATTTCTGTGATGGGTGAGCTATGAGTCTTTTTCCTCTTCTACAGTCCAATTGCACTGCTGCTTCTAAACTTTCAAAGGTAAGTTTGAACTGTCTCAGTCTCTGAGTAGCAGCAAAACCTTTTTTTGCCACTTCTCATATTCTGAAGAGCAGCTTCAGTCACACGTTATCTCCATAATAATGTTCAGTTGCTTTAACAAGTCTTTTTCTCTAAGAGGGGAAATTTCTGAGGCACCTGCTTTTTTTTTTTAAATATAATTTTTTTATTGAAAAAAAAAAAGATTTCTGCCTCCTCCCCGCCTCCCATTTCCCTCCCCGTCTCCCTTTTCCCCCCTCCTCCCTCTCCTCTCCCCTTCCCTCTCCAGTCTGAGGGGCAGTCAGGGTTCCCTGCCCTGTGGAAAGTCCAAAGTCCTCCCCGCTCCATCTTGGTCTAGGAAGGTGGACATCCAAACTGGCTAGGCTCCCACAAAGCCAGAACATGAAGTAGGATCAAAACCCAGTGGCATTGTCCTTGGCTTCTCAGCAGCCCTCATTGTCCGCCATATTCAGAGAGTCCGGTTTTATCCCATGGTTTTTCAGTCGTAGTCCAGCTGGCCTTGGTGAGCTCACAATAGATCAGCCCCACTGTCTCCGTGGGTGGGTGCACCCCTCGTGGTCCTGACTTCTTTGCTCATATTTTCCCTCCTTCTGCTCCTCCTTGGGACATTGGGAGCTCAGTCCAGTGCTCCAGTGTGGGTCTCTGTCTCTATCTCCATCCATCTCCAGATGAAGGTTCTATAGTGATATGCAAGATATTAATCAGTATGGCACCTGCTTTTAAGGCTTTCCATTTCTACAACAGAGGAACACTATACTGGAAAATGAGTTCTGAGTCCCAAGCTATAGTGTAGAAAAACTGTCAAACGTTCAGTCAGCATTCTTGGGCCTATTTACTCTTTAGACGTCTTTAGAGTAAATAGGACTCACAAAGGTCTAGAAATCTGTGTGGCAGGTCTATCAGGAAAGCAGGAATCTTAACCATCACCACAATCTCCTTTCCTTCTCAGACTGTAGCATGATAGCATCAGAGGGTCAGGAACACAGATTCAGCAATCTCTCACTTCAACTCCTCTGGGAAGGTCTCAGCAGCTACTGTGTCATCAAGGTTGGTATTCTTCTGTTCCACAAACTGCACCAAGCTTTCAGGAAGCCATTGAACTTCATTCTCCTCTTGTGAAAAAACATGAATATGTCCTTGACCCCATATTAAAACAGGGTCAGGTCCTTTCCATAAATGCAAGAATCTTTCCATTTTTATTTAGTGAAGGTCACTTTGGTGCCATCATGCCAAAATCTATGTGAAGCAGATTGCTTACAGGCATCCACATCCAAGAAATTTAGAATAAAAAGGGCATGATTTAAGGCGTTATGTGATGACTGGGGGTAAAATTTCCCCCTTTTTATCTTTTGAAGTTGTGTTTTCAAAGAGACATGGGCACACTCCACAATTCCTTGTCCTTGAGGATTGTAAGGAATGTCTGTTTTATGCTCAATATTACACTGGGAACAAAAATTGCTGAAATGCTTTGCTTGTATATCTGAACCCATTATCCATCTTTATAATTTTAGGAATTCTCATATATGAAAAACACTTTAAGCAATGAGTTACTGCATGCTTAGTGGCTTCTCCAGTCTGTGCAGTCTGGCCTTTAAGAAAACTGAATATGTACCAATTGTCACATGCACATATCTTAATTTGCCAAATTCTGCAAAATGAGTAACATCCTTTTTCCGAAAATGATTAGGAAGCAGGCCTCAAGGTTTTACTCCCAGATGAGATACAGGTAAATATATCACATTCCTTAACAAAACAATCTGACAAGCAATTTCTCTTGTTAATCCAAATTGTTTTCTTAAGCTTTTACTATTGTGATGATACATAGCATATGACTGCTGAGCAAGCTCAAGTTGAGATAAAGTGGTAAATTGGGTAAATTTATCAGCTAAAGCACTATCTTCAGCCAATGGGCCAGGAAGATTTGGATGTGCTCTAATATGACCCACAAAGCATGGCAATTTTCTTTGATGATTGACATCTTGAATTTGCTGGAACACTAATTTAACTTTACTATTACTAGGTCCAATGCAGGGGACAGTTTCTATGACCGGAAGAGCTTTAAAGATGTAATGACTGTCAGTATATAAATCAAACGCCTTATTTGTAGAAGCTGGACTACTACAGCCACAGCTCACCGCTCAGCCATTTGAGCCGAGGACAGATCTGTTTGCACTACATGTCCTTCATCAACAACAACGTACGCTGCTCTTTCATTGGAAGAACCATCTGTAAAATTTACCTTAGCATCCTTTAAGGGATCTTTCATTACAATTTTAGGAAAAATAAAGAAATGTACTTGTGCAAATTGCAGCAATCGATCAGCAGAAAAAGATTACCAATTCGGTCTACAAACTGAGCAAACCCAATTGCTCAAGAATCATTACTTTGAAATAACCCATCGACCTGTTGCTTAGTATAAGGAAACATTGATCACATTAGGTCCCCTACCAAAATATGGCCTAGATTCCATCTGGCTTATCTGTACTGAACACCTTTTTAACCCAAGCTGCAAGGCTTTCATTATCTGACAGGCAACAATTTGCATTTTTACAGACTCCTAGGTAGGTGGGGCAGCTCCCTGAGGCTTCATGGTCTCATTAACTCCTCTCAAATCCTGCATCTTTCTCCACTCTCCAGATTTCTTTTTAACCCCCAAAATAGGAGAAGCCTGCATCCTCTCCTCTGCTAAAAACTATTGATCTACCCATACAGGCTTGTCGGGTTTGCAGGCCATGCTGCCTCCAGCCATCCCCTGCCGTTAACTGCAGCAGGAGGAAGAAGAGCCCTCCAAACTTTCCTGTCTCCTGCAGCTCCCTGCTCCCCAGCAGTGACTGCCTGTGGAGCAGGCTCCAGTTTGCCAGATGCCTGCTGGGTCTTGACAGGAGGCAGGTCGTGCTCTCTGTGGTTCAGTGGTCCTGCTGGAGACCAACAAGGGTGGTGGGTGACAAACCTAGCTGCATCACAGGCACCCAGGTAACTGCCATTGAAAGGACTTTGAGACCAAGGCATCCACAGGCTTGCCTGGCAGGGAGCTTAGTCAGGCAGGGCCACACCGTTTTCACTACTCCCACTTTCCTTTCCCCAAGTTCTGAGGTACATGGCTGAGCTGCTTTTACTTCTCTGAGCCCAGGAACAGACCTAAAACGGTGGTGATTCCTGGAGGCCTCAGCTTACAGCCATCACTGGGCCATACATTGCGTGTTCCCATCACTCCCCTGCACATTCAGCAGTGGCAGACAGGGACTGTGTAATGGTCTCTCCTGTCCCTTTAAGAGACAACCCCATGCCCACCCCACCCCCACCCCAGTCCTAATTCTAGGAATTCTTGACACTGAGGCAGGAGGATTTCAAGTTGAGGCCAGCTGAGCTACATGATGAGACCCTGTCTCAAAAAACCCTTCCAATTAAATAGAAAATAAAAACCAACATCAACCTACATTTCTTTAGTATTATTTGAAATTTTATAACCTATCATACATATCAAGTTTTAAAAGACTATTCAAAATAATCAAATTTGATCTTGAAGGCCTCAGACTTTCGAGTGTTGGAATTGCAGGTATAGCCACTATACCTGGCTGATGTTTTTCTGTTTGTTTTTTCTTTTCTTTTCCTTTGGTTTTTCGAGACAGGGTTTCTCTGTGTTGCCTCAGACGTCCTGGAACTTACTCTGTAGACAAGACTGGCCTCGAACCCAGATATCTGCCTGCCTCTGCCTCCTTAGTGCTGGGATTAAAGGGTGTGCCACCACTGCCTGACCAATCTTGATTCTTAAAAGAGGAGTTAAAACATCCGAGGGTTTTTCTCGGATATCCTGAGAGCAGAGTGGAGCAGTATGAGATTGCTGCCCTTAAGTCAGTCATAATTCTAGGAATTCTTGACACTTGGAAACCTTTGCACTGGGAGAAAGAAAAATGACAGGTCTTTCCTTGCAAAAGAATCTACTGAGTTTTTTTTTTTCAACGATATTCTTTATTCTTTGAACACTTCATACAGTAGTACAATACATAGTGATTGTATCCATCTACCTGCCTCCAGTTCTCCCTAATATCCTCCCACCTCCTTCCTAGCTTTTTTTTTTTTTTTTTTTTTTTTTTTTTGCTATTAGGAAACTCCCAAGTCTAACAGTACTGCTCATATGCACATGAGAATGTAGCATCCCAGGGGTATGAACAGCTACTACTAGAGGCTGGAGGAGAAGGATTCTCCCTACCCCATCAGCTATCGATTGTCAACAGCTCCACCAATAGGGGTGAACCTCAAGAGTTCCCTCCCATCCGCTTTTGACTGACTTGATCTTGTAGCTACAGATGCTGTGAGTTGGATGCCTGCGAAAGTTGTGTCATGTCTAGGAGACAGCACTTCAGAGCACTCACTCATCCTCCTCCCTAACTCTTAGATTCTTTCTGTCCTCCCTTATGTGACTTTCTCCAAGTCTTGGATGGTGGGAGGGTAATAAGATGACTCACCTAGAGCTGAGCCTACTTGCTCTGCTCTTTGCCCAGTTCCCAGTCTGGGCACTCACTACCACCACTGCAGAAAGGAGCTTCTCTGACCAGGTGCAAGCAGCTCAAATCTACCGATTCCTTTTTTAAAATATATTTTATTAATTCTTTGAGGATTTCATACAATATGTTCTGATCATATTCATTCCCCACTCTTGCCCCTAACCCTTTCCAGATCCATACTTCCCACATTACTGAGTTCTTCAATCATGACAAGTCTGGAATTCAAACTTGACTAAAGCCAAGTAGGACTTCCCTGCCCATCCTGAGCAAGCCTTCTCTTATTACCAACAGAAAGGATACTAGGCAGGAAGCAGTGTATCAGACCTGGTGATCTTACAAGGCAGAGAAACATTCCTAGAGCTTAAAAAACCAAACCAAACACTTTTTATCCACAAGGAAGGCAACAGCAACCTTTCTTCCTCCCTAGCTTTTTTCCTTTTTCTTTTCTTCTTTTTTCTTCTTTTCTTTCTCTCTCTTTCTTCCACCATTTTTTGCAAACCAAGAGGAATCAATAATAGCAAAAGGCCAGGCTACATAAAATCTTGGGTAATCTCTTCATATGACCACCTCATGTTGTCTCAAGCATTCCTGGGCCCAGTGGAGCAGCAGAGCTGAAGATTAGGGACACGTTGGAAATTTCCTTAACCTGTTGACTGCAGTCACCACATGGAAATGTTTCTTGAAGTAAAGTGGGGGAAGGGGATAAAAGAGAAACAGAGGAATATCTTTAGATACACTTAAGAGGAAATGATGAAAAAAATAAGCCTAGGCATGTGGGCTTATTAAAAACTAGTACCCTATGTGTGAACAAGGGGTCTCTGACTCTCGTGCCTTCTCTTGGGTTCTTTTCCTTCTGTTTTCTTTGTCCAATTCCAATGTGTTAGTTTTTGTTTTTGATGGAGGTGGGTCTTGTAATAATAAAGAAACTGCCTCGGCCCTCATAGGACAGAAAATTAGGTGGGTGGAGAAAACAGAAGAGAATTCTGGGAGAAAGAAGCTTAGTGAGTGAGTCGCCATGATGCTCCCACTCCAGACAGACGAAGGTTAAGATCCTCTCTGGTAAGCCAGCTCATGGGCTACACAGAATATTAGAAATGGGTTAGAACAATATGTAAGAGCTAGCCAATAAGAAACTGGACCTAGCCGGGCCAGGCAGTGTTTGAAATAATACAGTTTCCGTGTAATTATTTCTGGGTATAAGCTAGCCATGCGGGCGGCCAGGTGCCGGGGACGCAGCCCTGCCGCTCCTAATTTCAACATGTTTTGTCTTATTATATCTTATTTTATTATTATCCCTTAGAAGCCTGTTTGTTTTCTAATGAGAGACAGAAAAGGAATGGATCCAGATAGGAGGGGAGGTGGGGGACTGGGAGAAGTAGAGGGAGAGGAAACCGTAATCAGGATATATTACATGAGGGGGGAAAAAACTATTTTCAATGAAATGAAAAATAAATAAAACCAGTGCTCCAAAGGGGGACCAAGTTTCCAGAATAATCAACAGTCACATTCTGAGTCATGACTGGGAAGGAAAGTTACTCTGCCCTTTCAAGTGGAAAATAGAGCTCTCTGGAACAAGTTTTCAAAGTATAACTTATAGTCGCCAACACGCCGTCAAATCCAACCTGTGCACTAGAAGCAAATGGCGCAGAAATGAAAACAGGCTGACCTACACTGCTGGAGTAGGGTAAATGCTTGCTTCACAGGGCTGTGTGCATGTTTATGCTTAAGTCCCGGATCCAAGGAAAGGGGTTTTGCTTTCATTGTCTGTTTCTGAGTTGACGGAGGTATAGGTGGGGGTATCTTGTTTATTTGTTTGTTTGTTTGATGCTGAGGTTTGAACCAAGAGCCTCACACATGCCGAGCCCAGCACAAAGTCCTGATATTGTTTCTCCCCATGGGGATCTAAGTCAGCACCAAAATTTTGGGAAGCTAGTTCCCTGGAAAACAATTGCTGTTAAGACAGGTTCTGTGTTGATAGGACCAAACGGATCCATGGTGAATAACGTGTAAAATATGGGTTTTCCATCTTGCATCTCCGAAATGTGGCAGGATCAAGCCTCTAGCTACACACAGCTAAGCCAGGATCCTGCCTACTGTCGCCACTGAGAATATGCACTGAGTTTCATCCTGGTACTTCAAGAATTCAGATAGCTAAGGGCTAAAATCAGTTTTATACCAGTGATTTCTGATCTGTGGCATGTTTGTTTGTTTGTTGTTTGTTTATTTGTAACCTGATCTCTAGCCCTGGCTGTCTGGAACTTGATATGTAGAGTAGGTTAGCCTTGAACTCAGTGATCTGCCTGCCTCTTTCTTTGCCTCTTAGGTCATTGAGATTAAAGGAATCTACCATCATGCCCAGTCCTGTGTCATCTCATAATCCAGCTAGCATCTGCGACATGAAAGAGTTTTCCCTTTATAACCATCGTATCAGGAATCCATGTATTAGTTAAAATTTGGCTGTAATTCTTTCAAAGGACAGAAGACAGATGTGGCATTGACTGAAGGAAAAAAAAAAAACAAAATACCTTCCATTTGCTCTGGGCCATATATTTCTGCAGCAATAATTGGGATCTGAGACGAACATTGGATCCTGAGGCTTTGGCAGGCAAATGGTTTAACCAGTCATGTTTCAGGCACTGTGTGGCGCTCATCCTGCAGCTGTGGAGTCAAACGCAGTAGAAAGTTTGAGCTGTACTAGCCTCTGAGAGTTGTCTAAAAGTCTGTTCCACTGGGTAGGAAGCCTGAGTCGATGGAACAGGTTCATCACTCAGGCAGATTCACGCAGGCACCCGACCTTCCACTCCTCACAATAGCCAGGAAGTAGTCAGTGAAAGTTTCCTGACCTCCGCAAATCTTGCACCCAGTGACTCACAATCACCTCCAGTGAAGGGCTGGGGAAGCTAAGGCAGAGCAAAGGAAGACCCAGGAAGACCCATTTGGATTGCTCTTAGGAGAATGTGGTGCTTGAACAAAACCATTTCTCGTGGCAGAGTCTAGCGCATCAGTTGGCTCATCTGAACCTACAAGTTTGGGGTTTCCACCTAGAAGGTTTTTACAGTACAAAGAGAGCAGTGAGCTTTCCTAAAGCCTGGGCTCTTGGGCCTTTCTCCTGGGGGTGTACTTTTGTTGTCATTGGCTATTTTCAATTATTTTATGTCTGAGTATCAAAGATTTTAAGTCAACTTGACACAAGCTAGGGTCAGCTGAGAAAAGAGAGCCTCAATTGAGAAAATGCTTCCATAAGATGTGGCTGAAAAGGAGAGGAGGTGGAAATTTTTCATTAAAAATAAATAAATAATTTTAAAAAATTAAAAAAAAAAAAGATGTGGCTGAAGAAAAGTCTATAGGACATTTTGTTGATTCGTGATTGGTGGCAGGAGGACCCAACCCATTGCGGATGGTGCCTCCTGGGCTGGTGGTCCTGGGTTCCATAAGAAAGCAGGCTAAGCCGGGCGATGGTGGCGCACGCCTTTAATCCCAGCACTCAGAAGGCAGAGGCAGGCGGATCTCTGTGAGTTCTAGGCCAGCCTGGTCTACAAGAGCTAATTCTAGGACAGGCTCTAAAACCACAGAGAAACCCTGTCTCGAAGAAAAAAAAAAAAAAAGAAAGAAAGCAGGCTAAGCAAGCCATGCAGAGCAAGCCAGTAAGCTGCACCCCTCCGTGGTCTCTGCCTCAGCTCCTGCCTCCAGGTTCCTAGCCTGTATGAGTTCCTGCCCTCACTGCTTTGGATGGCAAACTATTATATAAAACTATGCCTGCAATAGACCCTTTTCTCCCCAAATTTTCTTTTAGCCACGCGTTTCATCACTGCAATAGTCATCCTAAGACACTGCTGAAATTTAAAGAGGCCTTTGTGACCAAGAAACGAAGCACTCAGACCTGTATTCTGAAGGATGGCACCTTCATATCTTGTTGTGAATATTAGTTTAACTTTGTAAAGATGCGTTGCATTTGTCTACCTTGCCTGCCTAAGGTACCTGATTGGTCAAACAAAAAGTTAAATGGCCAATAGCTAGGCTGGAGGTATGGGCGGGACTTCCGGGCAGAGAAAGTAAGTGAGAGGAAGAATCTAGGTTCCAGAGAGACGGAGGGAGATAGAGAAAATAAAAAACAAGAGACAGCAGGGAGATGCCAGGGAGCAGCCAGACACAAGGGAAGCAAGAAAGTAGAACATACAGAGTGAAAGAAAGGTAAAAAGTCCTGAGGCAAAACATAGATGAAGAGACACAGGTTAAATTAAGTTAAAGAGCTAGGGAGACAAGCCTAAGCTAAGGTCAAGCATTCATAATTAATACTAAGTCTCCATTTTATTATTTGGGAGCTGGCAGGTGGGATAAAGAAAGAGCTCGTATACAATATCTCAATGTTAACTTATTGTAAGTGATAACTTGGGAATAGGAATAGGACTCACTTGAATATATAGCTCTTTCTAAGATTCTGTCTTGTCTAGTTGTTTTTATAGTAATTCTCTTTGTCTTGCTGCTGCCCCTTTTAATGTTCCACACGAGTAACAGACTAAGAAATCCCCCAGGATGAAAGGACTCAGCATTCCAGCTCAGCACACAGACCAGGGTCCGTTATAACGATCACTGAGTGACCAGAAATTAAAAATACCTCTTCTCTTTGACCAGCAACCGGGAAACAAAGTCCCTGGCGTCCTCTGACAGCCCTTTGAAGGTATCAGCATCAAAATCCCAGCTACAGTTCACAATGAAATTCATGGTCTCTGCATCTGTTTCCCCTAGAAATGGGGACAAACCACTGAGTCTACAGAGGAGAGAAAGGACCATGAGTGGAGTCACACACTCAGTGAGTCACACGCTCAGTGTGTCACATGCTCAGTGAGTCGCACGTTCAGTGTGTCACACGTTCAGTGTGTCACACACTCAGTGTGTCATGAGCTTTATTTCCATTGCTTCTCCACTGCCTGTGGTTCCACGTGTTGACGTGAAGGAGGCAGATGGGAAGGACATTCTGAACAGCCTATCACGTACCACCCTTTCCGTACGTCTAGAGGATCTGGAGAGTGGCGTCTACCACAATGTGTCCAGCTGTCAAGTGTGTATCTGTTTATTTTTGCTGTCCTTTTTGTTTTTTGAGACAGTGACTTTCTAGTTAACCCTTGCTAGTCTGTAACTCACTGTGTAGACCAGGCTGTCCTTGAACTCACAGAGATCCTCCTGCCTTTGCCTCCTGAGTGCTGGGATTAAAGGTGTGCGCCACCATGCCCAGTGTGTGTATTTATTTAAAAATAGCTTTCTATTTCTCTGGGACAGCTAGGGCTAATAGATACTATTGTCCTTCAAACTAATGGAATATTGGCTTTACTATGCTCAGGCTAAGGCAGAGAGACAAGATAACCTAACATCCCTCTCCCTTCTTCTCTTGCCTCCCCCATCATGGTCCAGTTAAGTCTGGACTCTTCCAGATGCCTCATAGCTACAATAAAACTCTTTCCCTCAGTCATACCTAGGAGCAGTCACGTCCTCATTTTCCTTCTTTTAATGCTGAAACCACAGGATTGGCATTTACGAGCTCCCTTCCAGGGGACTCAGCCTCTCCAAACCAAGTTGCTGATCTGACTGTCCCGAGGTACGCAGGGATCACTTGTTTCTGCTGGCTTCTGACACCCACCACATTTGACTCCCAATTCCAGAGTCTAACTCCTCATAGCTTCTTTCTTCCACCTGCTCCAGCTATCTGTCTTTCTTCACCTACTGGGTAAGTGTCCTCTCTCTGGCGTCTGGAGCCTCCTGTATCCTCTGGAGCGCCCACCACATGGGCGTCTTTCTACTAAGATGCCTCTGGCACCCTCTGGGGCCCCACCCTTTGAGCAGCCCTTATACACTTCCCTCTACCGGAACCCTCCCTTTTCCCAAGAGCCTCTCCTGCCCACCTCCAGCTGTTTTCTCTTCTACTCGCATCTCTCGTCTTGAACTCCTTGCCACCCTGGAGCTGCCCGCTTTGTCTACTTGCCAGGAAGCTCTTCTCACCCTGCTGGGGCCCTATCACGTGTAAAGAGATGCCCCTGCTCTGTGTTTGGGACACGGTTTGTGTGGAGATGCCCCGGATTGACATTGTTGTCACCACAACACTTACCTCCTCTGCTCCCTTTGTTCTTGGCTCCTTTAGGAGCATCCTTGCCTCCCCTGAGGAGCTGCAGCCCTTGTGGCCTCTAGGAGTCCTCCTTCAGGCAAAACTCCTATCTGCGGACCTTGGTCCTCACGGCTACCCGGCTCTCAGCTCTCAGCTCCCTCTTGGAGCTTACCCGAACCTCCCTTGGGTGGAGTTCGTTTTTCAACTCTTCTTTCAGTCTCGGGCTCAGATTTTGTTAAACCTCACTGTCCTACTGCAAAAGGCTTGGCCTCGGTTCAGCTCAATCATTGGCCAAAAATCGGCACACTCGGTTTTCAAACGCTTCCCCAATCACAACAGCTTCTCTCACCATACAAAAGACCCCAGACCTCTTAGATCTAAACCCTCCCTGCTCTGCAGTCCCCAAAGTCTCCACTCTCCACTCTTTACAGTCTTTTATCCCTACAATCTCTCTGCACTCTGCTCTCGAGGAATCTTCTGAGACTATTGTGTAAGCACTCTTATCTCAGCATTTGAAAACTCACTGGATGTGGTTAAAGAATCTGTCACAAAAAAAAAAAAAAAAAACTAGCTTGAAACCTAACACAAAGATTTAATATTAATTTGCTATATGTGATCCAACTGTTATAAAAAACAAATCTGCTAACAGTATGTGTAACTTGAATTCAACTCTTGTTTAGCAAAATAGATGTTTTAAATAGCAACCACGCGGCTTGCCTCCATCTTGACTGATAACCTCATTAGGATGGAAGCAACCACATGGCTGGTACATACCATGTAACTTCACCACCATCTTGGTGAAGATGGTCATGTGGTATAAACCAACTAAAACAACAATCATAAAACTTCTTAGTCCTACTAGGCCCTCTGCGTATCATTGTATCTCCTTTTAGATGAAGGGGGCAACAGCAGGTCTCCAAAATATCTTGAATTAGGATGGAGTTTTGTTTGATGATAAATTCCTAAGGTTATAAAGGTCTACTCGGGTTAATAGAAACTGGCTTAGAACTATACGCATAACTACATATGTCTTTGTTAACTGTGTTCAATAACAGGCTTCTAGAAAACTTAAATAAGGGATAATATGGTTGATAAATAAGGTTTATAAATTTCCAAGGTCTTCTTGGGTTAACAGTAACAGACTTGAAGATACATGTCTAGTCTCCTTGTCTTTGCTAACTTTGTTAAGCCTTAGCTATTTGGATAAACTGGTCCATATAAGAAACTGTGATGTTCTGTAATCATGTACTATGAAAAGATCAAGAAAATAAGGACCCCAATCCCTCTGTAGATTGCATTTAAAGTTCCCAGTCTCTCTATGAACTGTATTTATAGTCTAAAGTTTTATTTTGATACTAAAGAATCTTCAACTCAAAATTTTAAGGCTCAAAGTTAACAGGGATAAAACTAAAATCCTAATCTTATGAAAGCTACCAACTTGTAAACTGTTAAAAATAATTAAGACTTGCAAGTTAATGGTCAGTCACCTTACTAAAAATGATCAGATTCTTTCATGTGCTTAGAACTAGCCTCATAGTCATGCTAAGTACAAATGTAATTCATTTAGTGAGCTTTGTGTAGCCTCCTGTGTATGTTCCCAAGGTTAAGCTAAAAGCAAGTAACTAAAAACAAGTTAAGTTCGCTCATATCAAGTATACTTAATAGATAATGGTCCTCAAACTCTTCAGAGATCTATAAATATAGCAGTTAAAGTGTTTAACATATCAAATTGGATCCTGGACAGCCCTCCCAGCATCACTCAGTACCTGTGGGTCCTCCCTCCCGCCCGGCATCACTCAGTACCCGTGGCTCCTCCCATCCCTCCCAGAATCACTCAGTACCTGTGGTTCCCCCATTCCTCCCAGCATCACTCAGTACCTGTGGCTCCTCCCATCCCTCCCAGCATCACTCAGTACCTGTGGCTCCTCCCATCCCTCCCAGCATCACTCAGTACCTGTGGCTCCTCCCATCCTTCCCAGGATCACTCAGTACCTGTGGCTCCTGACAGCACTTCTCACCTGCCCCCTACCCTAAAACTCTCCCTCCCGGGAACTGGGATTCCCTTTCCTCAGCCTCTCTTTTCTATATAAATTCATTCATTGTGGATAAGCATTTGGCTCCTGGTTCCTCTCTTGGCTTCTTGGTCCCCTGGCCCCCACCCCTTCTTCTCTTCCTCTCTCACTCTTCATCCCATCCCCAGGGCTCGGTTCAGTCTGGACTCTTCCAGGTGCCTCTGGATTTCCTCTCCCTCATAACTACATTGAAACCTTCTCCTCAACCATACCTAGGAACACTCATGTCCTCATCTTATTCAGTATCTAGAAGTAAGATCCATTTGTAGCACATCCTTAGCTGACTGCCTCTCTTCAATCTCACTAGTCTGCTCCTCTATGAGTGGTCCTGAGAACACTCCCGAAATTGTGGTTTTCCATTTCTAAAAGTACCACCATAAGATGGATAGCCCCGGTCCCACCCAGAACAAGGCCCTGGGTACTCACAGCATGTAGGTGATAACTCCCACACTCCACATGTCTGTCGGGAAGGAGACAAACTCGTAGTTAACAACTTCTGGGGCCAGGAACTCTGGGGTCCCAAAGTTCACCTTTAGTTTCTCCCGAGGCTTGTACCTGAGGAAAAGGGAGAGAATGCGGTGCACCATGGGAGAGAACATGTGGATACAGATGTGGATTCTACCTGTCAGGCATGTTGCATGGACCCGACACTCAAACTACACACGACGTTTCCCAGGGAATAACCACACCCTCAGACATGCCTTCCAGCCTTAAGTTGGCGGTAGAGCAGAAAGCTATGCTCCTTCCAGCCCCTTACAGTCTGAAGATGAGAGAAGACTCATATATCTTACTTGGTGTAACCCACATGAATGAGCACAGACAAATGGGGCAGAGCATCTGGAGAGCGACTGCTTTCTTGGTTTACACAACGTCATAGTAAGAAAAAGAAACAAAGGTCATTCTAAGCGATCATTAGAGAAATACAAATTAATAATAAAACGTGGCCCCCATATGCTCCTATATAAATGTCTATAGTGCTAAAACACACACACATATGGAGAGGGAGAGAGACTCTAGCAAGTGTTAACTAGAATGCAGAGAATTCCCATCCTTTATGGAGTGTAGGTAAGGAGTGTTAAATGGAGCAGACGCTGGGGAAAACAGAAAAGTGAGCAGGGTGTGGTGTCTTAAACTGTGATTCTAACACCCAGGAGGCCAACACAGGAGGACCAAGACGAGTTTGAGACCAGGATAAGTTACACAATGAGCTTAAGCAAGCTTGGATGACTGGCTCTGTCCCAAAAAAACAAAATCCTGAGAGATGACCAATCAGAAAATTAAAAATAGGATGATGTGATCTAGCAATGTTTTGAGCATGTATTCAAAAGTATTGAAAGTGGGGCTCCAGGGGACAGTTGTGCCCTTTCCTCTGTCCCCTTTCTACCCCTGTGTCCTGAGATGTGATAGTTATTCCACTAGAAGTGGGAATACCTTGCTGCATTCCTCTGATGCTGGGGCTGGCCATCGGAATTGTTTTTTAGTCAGAGGAATTTGAGTAAAAATGACACAGAGTCAATAACCAAGCTAGGCTGTATCTGCCCCTGTGTCACAGCCATGAGAAGAGAGTGAGAAACACAGTGCTTATCTGACCTCACCGAGGGGCTGGAGAGGTGGCTCAGTGGTTAGGAGACGGGAATGTTTGCAGAACACCTAGATGCCCAGAACCCATATGGTGGCTCGCAACCATTTGTAACTCCAGTTCCAGGGGATCTAGTGCCTTCTTCTGGCCTCTATAGACACTATACATGTGTGCATAGACATACATATAGGCAAAACACCCATACACATATGCATATACATATATATGTAATTAGATAAAATGTAACACTAACTAAACTGAGCCAGCTTAATGATCTCAAATAGTGGTGTGTAGGTAAATGTTGAAAATTGGTTGTCTAGATGTCTAGATTTTTTTTAAGATTGGATCTGCAGTAATTGCCAGTTTGGGTGATGTAAATACTGGTTTTCCCAGGGTAGTTTCAAGGGACCAAAACGAAGTCACTGTGTGGTAAGATTCAGTGGCCTGTCAGTAACATTCAAGCTTTTTAGCCTCACATTCAGGATTCTTCTTGAGGGCATTCATCCCCTACTGTGCTCTCCTTAGCTTGCTCTGCTCACACTCACACATCTGTTCTCAGACCATAACTAGTGCCATCCCTGCCCCCTCTCCATCCCCCCTAATTCCCCTCTGTAGCTCCTGCTCACACTGGCTCTGGCTCTCAGGAGTGCACCAAAGCTAATTACGTTCATCAATTTGTAAAAACTGGAAAATATCACAAATCAACCCTGTGTCCCCACTTCCCTCCTCTTCTGAGCTGGTCGTTGAATATTCGTCAGCATATCAGTCCCTGCCCACGGCAAGTCCAGCCCATGAGAGAAGCGTCCCTCATCCCAGGAGCTTCTAGCCAAGCATCTAGCTTCTTGTTGCTCTTATTCAGTATATCACTGTGAGTGACATATGCCAACTGGCATTCCAGTGTGTCCTGCTGATTTTGTATGTGCTGTACAATAAGTACAATATTATGTCACAAGGATCCAGAAAAGAGGGCTTTGGGGCATCAAAAACATTTTTCTATTATGGCTTTGCCAGCGGCCACAGGACCACCACAGATATGTCGTGCTTCTACGGCATCGCCCTCCACTGAGTGGTGGACAACGATTATGGGAAAAGTCTAAAAAGGCCTGCTGGAGGCAAATGGTGATAATGAGAAATAGGTTGAAAAGCACCACTCTCTTGTATAAGACACACACGTATGTGCAAAATAACCCCAACTTTAGAAGACATCATTTAGGAGTCTATGAAGCAGGTTTTCTACATTACAGATAGAAGGTGATGTGCGTAGAGGGGTTTATATTGTTCACTGAAGGTGGTGGGGTGACAATCTTCTGTTATAGAAACAGCATATGGGGCAATGAAATGGAGGAGTGACCCCAAAAGACTGCCACTGTGGCTCAGGATGCCTCCTGGAAGCAGGGGCTGAAGCCAGAGGCTAACTGTAGGTGAGTAGCTCTGCCTCTGGTGGATGGTGGGGAAAGGGTGGGGGGAAATACTTAGCAGCTCGGGAACCACAAAGACAGCTCCCGTGGAAAAAAGCCATGAAGACGACAGAAAATCTGGCCACACACACACACACACACACACACACACAATCTTAGCACTCAGGAGGGTGAGGAAGGAAGATCACAAGTTTGAGGCCAGCCAAGGACTGCATAATAAGACCTTGTCTCAGTAACAAACTGGTAAACAAAGCTGTGCAGTGGCACTGGCTTTAATCTCAACACTAAAGAGGTGGAAGTCGGAAGATCAAGACTTAAAGGTCAAGGTCATCCTCACCAAGTTTGAGGCATTAGAGACTGTTTCCTGTTGCATATAAGATGCAGGACTCTCGGCTACTTCTCCAGCACCGTGTCTGCCTGTGCCAAGAGGATAATGGACTGAACTTCAGAAACTGTAAGCAAGCCACCTCCAATTATTTATTTTCTTATAGGAGTTGCCATGGTCATGGTGTCTCTTCACAGCAATAGAAACCCTAAGTAAGAGACAGAGACCTAGGCCGGAGCAGGCCTAAGACGGCAAGCTCCACAGGAGCAGGTACAGGAAGCAACTGCTGAGTCAGTGGGCCAGAGCCAGAGACTGCTGTGGGTCCAGGCATGAATCTGGGACCTTCAAGGGAGTAGACCTGAGCCAGGACCCCTGTAGGTCTGGGCATGAGTCTGGGACCTCTGAGGAAGTAGGCCTGAACAGGGCCTCTGCGTGTCAAGGAACACCTGAGTCTAGGACCTCCGAGGGAGTAGATAGAAGCCAGAGACTTTGCAGAACCAATCCCAAGCCACGGACCTCCGTAAGAGCGGATCCAGACCAGGAATATTTACAAAAACAGGTCTGAGCCAGCAACCTGGGCCAGAGCAGACCTGAGACAGCAAGCTCCACAGGAGCAGGTACAGGGAAGCAACTGCTGAACCAGTGGGCCAGACCCAGAAACCGCTGTGGGTCTGGGCATGAATCTGGGCCCTTTGAGGAACAAGACAAGGCTGTTCACTCTCTCCATATCTATTCAATATAGTTCTTGAGGTCCTAGCTAGAGCAATAAGACAACAAAAGGAAATCAAGGGGATACAAATCAGAAAAGAAGAAGTCAAACTCTCACTATTTGCTGATGATATGATAGTTTACATAAACGGCCCCCAAAATTCTACCAAGGAACTTCTACAACTCATAAACACTTTCAGTAACGTAGCAGGATACAAGATTAACTCAAAAAATCAACAGCCCTCCTTTACACAGATGATAAATGGACTGAGAAAGAAATCAGAGAAACATCACCCTTCACAATAGCCACAATTAGCATAAAATATCTTGGAGTAACTCTAACCAAACAAGTGGAAGACTTGTATGACAGGAACTTTAAATCTTTGAGGAAAGAAATTGAAGAAGACACCAGAAAGTGGAAAGATCTCCCATGCTCTTGGGTAGGTAGACTTAACATAGCAAAAATGACAATCTTACCAAAAGCAACCTACAAATTCAACGCAATGCCCATCAAAGTCCCAGCAAAATTCTTCAAATACCTCCAAAGAATGGTACTCAACTTCATATGGAAAAGCAAAAAACCCAGGATAGCCAAAATAATACTGTACAATAAAAGAATTTCTGGAGGTATCACAATCGCTGACTTCAAATGCTACTACAAAGCTACAGTACTAAAAACAACCTGGTATTGACATAAAAACAGACAGGAGGACCAATGGAACCAAATCAAAGACCCGGATATTAATCCACACACTTTCAAGTACCTGATTTTTGACAAAGAAGCAAAAAATATCAAATGTAAAGAAGAGAGCATATTTAACAAATGGTGCTAGCATAACTAGATATCAAGATATCTATCTATAGAAGAATGAAAATAGATCTACATGCATAAAGCTCAAGTTTAAATGGATCAAAGTCCTCAACATAAAGCCAGCCACACTGAGCTTCATAGAAGAAAAAGTGGGAAGTACACTTGAACGCACTGGCACAGGAGACCACTTCCCAAATAAAACCCTAGTAGCACAGACATTGAGAGAAACAGTTAATAAATGGGACCTCCTGAAACTGAAAAGCTTCTGTAAAAGAAAGGACACAGTCAACAAGACAAAACAGCCTACAGAATGGGAAAAGATCTTCTCTAACCCCACATCAGACAGAGGTCTGATCATCAAAATATACAAAAAGCTCAAGAAATTGGACACTAGCCGAGCGGTGGTAGTGCACGCCTTTAATCCCAGCACTCGGGAGGCAGAGGCAGGCGGATCTCTGTGAGTTCGAGGACAGCCTGGTCTACAAGAGCTAGTTCCAGGACAGGAACCAAAAAAAGAAAGAAAGAAAGAAATTGGACACCAAAAGATCACATAATCCAATAAAAAATGGAGTACAGACCTAAATAGAGACCTCTCAACAGAGGAATCTAAAATGGCTGAAGGACACTTAAGGAAATGTTCAACATCCTTAGTCATCAGAGAAATGTAAATCAAAACAACTCTGAGATTCCATCTTATACCTGTAAAAATGGCCAAAATCAAAAACACTGATGACAACTTATTCTAGAGAGGATGTGGGGTAAAGGGTAAACTCCTCCATTGCTGGTGGGAGTGCAAGCTGGTACAGCCCCTTTGGATATCAGTGTGGCAATTTCTCAGAAAATTAGGAAACAATCTTCCTCAAGATCCAGTAATGGGTATATATCCAAAGGATGTTCAATCGTGACACAAAGACATGTGTTCAACTATGTTCATAGCAGCATTGTTTGTCATAGCCAGAACCTGGAAATAATCTAAATGCCCCTCAGCTGAAGAATGTATAAGGAAAATGCGGCACATTTACAATGGAGTACTACTACACAGCAGAAAAAAATAACAACATCTTGAAATTTGCAGGCAAATGGATGGAGCTAGAAAACATCATTTTGAGTGAGGTATCCCAGACACAGAAAGACAATCATCACATGTACTCACTCATAAGTGGGTTTTGAACATAAAGCAAAGAAAACCAGCCCACAAACCACAATCCCAGAGAACCTAGACAACAATGAGGACTCTAAGAGAGACATACATGGATCTAATCTACATGGGAAATAGAAAAAGACAAGATCTCCTGAGTAAATTGGGAGCATGGGGATCTTGGGAGAGGGTTGAAGGGGAAGGGAGAGGCAGGGAGGGGAGCAGAGAAAAATGTAGAGCTCATTAAAAATCAATAAATAACACACACATATACATATATATATTAAAAAAGTTCCAGACACAAAAAAAGAAACCCTAAGCAAGACAGCTACTATATTCAGAACTACACAGGAAATATGTGATTCCCAAAGAAGACACATTCTTGTAGGAAAAAAAATTGGAGGGAAGCTTGGAGGATGGGCTATACAACTTTAGTTAGCATCCTATCTGAGACTGGAGATTTGGTGGGAAGTCTTCCTAAACACCCCGGGTCTGCTGCAGCCTCTTCTGGGAACCCATGCTGCCAGCTGTGCCAGTCGTGGGTGGGGAACTGTCAAGACTGAGAAGTAAAACTGTGTCCATATTAGGCTCTATGAATTTAAGGGTCTTTAAGATATTTTAAAAATTATGTACAAGGAGGGCTAGAGAAATGACTAGGTGGTTAATAGCACTGACTGCTCCTTCAGAGGTCCTAGGTTTAGTCCCCAGCACACATATGGAGATTCACAACTATATGTATCTCCAGTTCCAGAGGATCTGACATGCTCTTTTGACCTCTGTGGGCATTCCACACATGCTGTGCAGATACACATGCAGGCAAAACACCCATACACATAAAATAAGAATAAATGAATATTTTAAATTTATATATAAGAGCCAGTGAGATACTGTGGGTAAATGTGCTTACTGCCAAGCCTGATGCCCTGAGCTCAGCTCCTAGGACCCATTTGTAGGGAGGAAAGAACCAACTCCTAGAGGCTACCCTCTGACCTCCACACAACATCTGCAGCATGCATGCACTGTGCCTCCCTGCTCCCACATAAATAAATGCAACAAAAATTTTAATTGTATGCAATCCACTTAATGCACTGAAATTTGAGGACTTGGTAGAGTTTGCACTAGCATGTAAGAACCCATTTAGCCCTCACGATCTGAGGGCGATCTCCATATGAGCAAGAATGTCATTATGTCACCACTGTACTAAGTTCTTATTTTTAATTTTTTAAAGATTTTTTTGTTTTGTTTTTCACGATAGTGTTTCTCTGTACAGCTTCAACGCCTGTTCTGGAACTCCCTCTGTAGATCAGGCTGGCCTCGAACTCAAACTCACATAGATCCTCCTGCCTCTGCCTCCCGAGTGCTAGGATTAAAGGCGTGTGCCACCACCACCCAACAAAGATTTATTTTCTTTTTATGTACAGGTATGTATGACTGTGTGAGGAGGCTAGATCCCCTGGAACTTCAGACAGTTACGGACTGCCATATGGGTGCTGGAGATCGAACCCGGCTCCTTTAGAAGAGCAACCAGTGCTCTTAAGTGCTGAGCCATCTCTCCAGCCTCCCGCTGTACTAAATTCTAATCTAGTCTTCAGTGGCTCCAAATCCACTTATCAGGGCACCACCCTATTCTGTGACACGTGTGCTTTCACCTGTAAACTAGAGACTTCTCAGAGTGCGAGGATGGTGGTGGATGGATTACCTAGCATGGCCCCTGGCAGAAGGGAGAACTGAAGGAAGCTAGTCTGCCTTGAACCCTGTTCAGCAGTCCCCTGTAACTCTAGTCCTCTGCTCAGACAGGTGGTTCAAAGTATAGTTAACTCCGTGATCTTTTGGAACAAATGGAGCCTGTACTACAACCTACTGCATTAACAGCAAGCCAAAGGCCACCAGGCTCTAAGCAAGAACTTTCTTGCATTCATCCCCACACTCAAAAATGGCTAGATCTCCGACATTCCAGAGAGCTGTAGGTGCCACTGAAGAAAAAAAATTTTTTTTTAATATTTATTTATTATGTATACAATGTTCTGTCTGAGTGTATGCCTGCAGGCCAGAAGAGGGCACCAGACCTCTTTACAGATGGTTGTGAGCTACCATGTGGTTGCTGGGAATTGAACTCAGGACCTTTGGAAGAGCAGGCAATGCTCTTAACCGCTGAGCCATCTCTCCAGCCCCCCTGAAGAAGAAATTTTGTCAGCACATCAGGAGCCTTACCTTCTAGCCAGCCCAAAGTCGATGATCTTAATCTGATGTCCTGTCTGGTTGACACACAGTATGTTCTCTGGCTGGAAGAGAGAAGGAAGGGAAAGATATTTTGCCCTTATTACCCCTGGCTAAGGAAGCCTACAGCTCCCACACTTATTTGTCCATAGCCTTCGTTTCCCCAGAATCTAAGGGAAGCAAATGGCTTAGGGTCGTCGTATGGGGCTAGACAGACAATAAAAGTAAATGAGCCGCACTAATGAAAGAGTCGTGCCATAGAGGGCTGGAGAGATGGCTTAGAGGTTAAGAGCTTGTGCTGCTCTTGCGGAGGACCTGAGTTCAGTACCTCACACCCATGTTGGACAACTCACAACTGTACTGCCTCAGGAAACTCTGTTACTCTTCTATAGAGCTATAGGAATCCCCCCCCCCCCCTCCAAAGGACTGCTCCTCCACCCAAATCTCAGATCAGAGTTCCAAGCTTTGAGGACTCTTTCCCAAAGGCCAGTTCTTGACCCGGAAGTGCAGATAAGAGTCCCAGGTTTTTCCCAATTGCTTGTCCTGCAGAGCATCTGGTCCAAAGCCTTGAGATTGGCTCTCGTAGCAATCAAAGCTGGGTCCCTGCCCTACCCAATATCTTTCCGAGTGCTTGCCTTACAGTCTGATGCCAGTCTCTTGGCAAAAACAGGTGGGCAAAAACAGTGGCCCACACGCCAGCAGGTACAAGCACCCTGCTTCTCATCTGAAAGGGAGTCACAGAAATGCAAACCCCTTCTGAAACAGGTGATCAAAAGGCACCCCCTGGTGGAAATAGCCTAAGAAATCTCAGAAGGACCATATGTTCTACCTGCCAGAAACTATGCCTGAGATTGAACGTACAGGACAGCCAGAGATTCTCCTAGGAGACAGAGAAAAGTGTAATGTGTTCATTCAGTGAAATTTCAGATGGCTCTTCTAAACTATAAGAAAAGATGTCTACAATTGTTGTTTAGAAATAAGATACAAGCTACTAAAACAGCCCACCCAGTCAAGTTGCATGCCGCCCAGCCTGATGGCCAGCTTTGACCCGGAAACTACATGGTGGAGGACAAAGCCAACTCCTGTGAGTTCCTCACTGACTTCTACATAATGCATTGTGGCACACGTGCATCATGGGATATGTACACCTGTGAGGGCATGCACGCACACACACTATACACTACACACACACACACACAATGTAAACAAGGACGCATCCCATGACCCCTTTGTAGATATTCCTGTGTGATGCTAAGTCACTCATGAAGAAGTCCTCCGTTCATGAAAACTAGTTGGGGAAAATGTATTTTACACACTTTTATATTGCCCATATTTGTTACCACAAGTATATATCCCCTTTAAAACTGTGTGTGTAATGCATGTATGTATGTGTGATGCATGCATGTATGTACATATCTGTGTGTAAGCGTGTGTGATTGTATGTGTAATGACTAGAGGTCAACACTGAGTGTCCCCTACCTACTCTTCACCGTTTTTTGTTTTTGTTTTTTGAGACAGGGTTTCTCTGTAGCTTTGGAGCCCATTCTGAAACTAGTTCCTGTAGACCAGGCTGGCTTCAAACTCACAGAGATCCACCTGCCTCTGCCTCCTGAGTGCTGGGATTAGAGGCGTGTGCCATCATCGCCTGGCTTCACCTTATTTCTGAGATAGGGTTTTTCAGTGAACCTGGAACTCCCCTATTGGGTAAACTGTCTGGCCCCAGAATCTCTGTCTCTGGTGGGATCGCAGAGGCAGGAAACCCCCCCCCCCCCCCATGATGCTCCTTACACGGGCACTGGGATCTGAGCTGTGTAGAACCCAGGGGTCAAACTCAGGTCATCTAGCTTGGCGACATTTCTGTCAAGCCATCTCACAGGCCCATCCCTTGAGGTTATTAAAAAAAAGAATTTTAAAGATTTATTTTTATTTATGTGGTCGTGTCTATATGAGTGCATGCCATGTTTTTTGGGTGCCTGTGGAAACCAGAGGAGGGTAGCAAACCCCCTGGAGTTAGAGTTATAGACAGTTGTGAGCTACCCAGTGTAGATGCTGAGAACTGAACTCAGATCCTTGAGAAGAGCAGCAAGTGCTTTTAACTGCTGAGTCATATCTCCAGACTAAAATAATAATAATAATTTTAAGACATTGCTAAAGAAAAAGGCTACTGTATTATTTAATACTCAAGCAACACTGAAAGAGGCACAATTGTCTACACGTCACATACAAGAATAGAGGCAAAATAACAGGTCTGTTGCAGATACCAGAACTAGTAAATGGCAGAGCCAGGAGGGGAAGCCCCAGAGACCTCAGTGAGCTGGGTGCGGAGGCTCAGAAGGCACCTGCCAAGGCCCGGCACTGACCTTGAGGTCCAGGTGCAGGATATAGTGCTGGTGCAGGTAATGCACACCCTCGCAGATCTGCTTCGTGAACAGGACCACGTCCAGTTCAGTCAGGTGGTACTTCTCATCCGTGATCCGGTCAAAGAGTTCACCTCCATCCACACTGCCGGAGAAAAGTAGAAGCAGGTGTCAAACCGAGCGAAGCTCTCAGAAGGCCTGAGAGCAGCCTGTCTAGGTGTACAGAAGTCGGGTATAGCCCGCAGAAGGCCCAAGGTGGCTTACAAAGGGCTCCTGATACTGCTACGAGGGGTTTGGTTGTGGCATATTCCCCACAGGAGGTTTGCCTAGAACCTGGATATCTAAATTAGGGCTGCAAATTCAGCTGCTTGGGAGTGCCAAATGCACCCACATGACAAGAAGCCCAAGTGAAGCCTGTCATGGTGACCCCCAGCTGTGATCCCAGTCCTTGGGAGGCAGAGAAAAAATAGTCAAGAGTTAAGGACCATGAGTTGCAGCATACCTTGACACACAGAGTGAACTGTAGCACACCACTACACACAGTGAGCTACAATACACCCCCACACGGAGAGAGTTGCAGTACACCCACACACACAGACAGAGCTGTAGTACACCCACACACAGACAGAGCTGTAGTACACCCCCACACAGACAGAGCTGCTGTACACCTCTACAGATATAAGTTTGGTTCCAATGTAACTATATTGTTTATATTTTCATGAAAGCTGGATAGAAAGATTTTCCAATTTCTGTCTATATTTTCCAATTTCCAACCATTAATCTATCATACAAAATCACTAAAAGTTGTTTAGGCCAAACTGGCATAATGTCTGCAGATTAGACCAGACATGCTGGCCACTGGTTTGAGACAAAAGAACTTTGTCCTCCAACTTCCACTCTCAGGTTCAAAGCACAGAACCAGGGCATGTGGCAGCCTCTGGGGGTGCCTGTGAGAGCAGAGAGGGGAGCTTGCCTGGACTGAAGGCTCTCCGTCCCTGCCACGAGGCCCTGAAGGAAGCCACCACTTCTGAGATACTCACTACTCCATGATCAGGGTGAAGCTGTTCTTGCTCTCAAAAGCGTCGTAGAGTTGGATCAAGTTCACATGGCTCAGCTGGTTCATTATGTTGATCTCATTCTTGACGTCCTCCTGGTGGGACCAGAGAAGATTGGTTTTCAAGAAAATAGATCAGGAAGAGAAGCCACTTGTATCTCCCAAGATGTATGCAGGTGGGCATGCCCAAATGCACACACACACACACACACACACACACACACACACTCACATGCACACAGTCACACATGCATATACACCTTCACTCATGCACACACATACACACATTCCTACATATATACCCTCACACATTCATACACATGTACACACACATTCATACACACACATTCATACACAAGTACACACACATGCATGCACACACATCTTATGCTGCTGTCACACCAGCTCTCCTTGACTCATCACCCAAACTGTGTTCCTATAACAGAAAGAACCTTGATTCCACCCTCTGCTTATCATCTCACAGACCAGACACCCGCTCGCCTCACAGACACCCGCTCATCACCTCACAGACACCTGTTCATCTCACAGACACCCGCTCACCTCACAGACACCTGCTCGCCTCACAGACACTCCCTCACCTCACAGACACCCTCATCACCTCACAGACACCCGATCATCTCACAGACGCCCCCTCATCTCACAGACACTCCCTCACCTCACAGACACCCGCTCATCATCTCACAGACACCCGCTCGCCTCACAGACACCCTCTCATCACCTCAGAGACACCTGTTCATCTTACAGACACCCGCTCATCATCTCATAGACACACCCACTCTTCTCACAGACTGGAGGCCCCAGAAGGAAAAGCCCTTGGTGCCCAAGGTCCTGCAAACATGTTGGCAGAGCCGTGCCAGGCTATCCACAGAAATGGGGTCTGGAGTAAGAACGTGGGTGACTCAGTGAGCAGTGTGAGCCCAGGAAGAGAGGAAGGGAGTACACCATGCTTCCTACTTGGCACGGAGGGGGCTGGAGCAGGTGCTAGGAAACGAAAGATTCTAGGTCTCGGCTAGAAGGATCTGGCTGGCCTGGGGCAGATGTCTTACCCGGTCTTTGATGCTCTTCACTTTGATGATCTTGGCTGCGAGCGCAAGGCCTGTGGACCTCTCTGTACACCTGTGCACCTGGCCAAACCGGCCCCTACAGAGGCAGAGGGACACGGTAAGAGAACATGCAGACCTCACCAACTCGCGAGGCCCCCGTTCCTCTCCTCACACACCCCATGTGGGCTGTCCTACAGCACATGCTGTTGTCTTAGTCATCACTCACCCTGGGCTAACCCTGAGTGGAGAAAATCACTTCTTCACCACCCACAGTCCTGCGATCTACTCCATAGTCGAAGGGGAAACCTCCTGACCTTGCCACGGGCTATTCTGCACGTGGGAATACACCATACTCACTCCCATCCTACCAGCCTCCTGACCACAGCCCCTCCTGTCACCCCTGCTACCTCAGGAGTGTTGTTTCCCATGTCCTGTTTTGAGGGCCTCCTACACCCCTCCTCCCTCATGTGTGCAGTCGCCTGCATCCCAGGGAGACCCCTGTTCTTTCAGCCTCTGTGTTCCAGTCCCTGCCCCCCCTCACCCAGGCGGATGCTGTACTTACCCTCCCAAGACTTCATGTTGGGACACTGTGTAGCCTGCTGAGACCGAGGTGTCCTTGACATTCACTACCCGGTGTTCAAAGGGGGCTGGGGGTGCTGCACTGTCGTCTGTAGAGAGACGACAAAGCACCCATGAGTCTCCAACCAGTCGTCTCCCCTCCTAAACCCACTAAGCGTCACCTGGATTACCAGGTGCCAAGACCACCGCCCTTCTTACACTCCCAGCATGTGGGAGCCCTGACTCTAGAGTCAACCCCATTTATCAGGAGAGGGAGCCGAGCTCTCTGCATCAGTGAGCAGGTTTGCATGAGGCGGCTGTGTTCAAAGGCAACGAAACTGTGCGAGACCGTCAGGGGAGTGTAAAGGGGAGGCTGCTAGAAAAACAAGCACACCATCCTCAACGCTCAGCCTTGGCCCCCTGATAGCTGGTCTCAACTAGATCCCAGAGGGCAAGAGAGCCCGTGGGGGGAGCTCGTGGGGAGCTTCTCCTAGGGCATGGGCTGGTGAGGAGGGATAATAGATCTAGAAGGGAAGCAAAGGGCAGCCAGCACTTGGAAACTCAGAAGACAGGCATTTAGGATTGCGGTTCTTTCTTTTTAATTTTATTACTCTCTCTCTCTCTCTCTCTCTCTCTCTCTCTCTCTCTCTCTCTCTCTCTCTCTGTGCATGTACACACCATGTCATATACATGTGGAGGTCAAAGGATAATTTTCAGGAGTTGGTTCAATTTTCACCATATGGGTCCCAGGAACTGAACTCAGGGCTTGGCAAAAAATGCCTTTACCAGACAAAAATGGCCCTAGGATTTTATTTTAATTGATTAATATGAATATCTAGAAATATCACGTGAAATTATTTTTTAAAGAAAAGGAAAACATACAACAGTCATGACACTACAAAGTGTTTTCTGCACAAATGACTGGGTCATCATCTGTTCACGCTTGTCCTGGGAGCATCCTGCGTGCTCCCTGAGTGCAGAGAGTGCTCCATGATCCTGCGTGCTCCCTGAGTGCAAAGGGTGCTCCATGATCCAGGGTGCTCCATGATCCTGCGTGCTCCCTGAGTGCAAAGGGTGCTCCATGATCCTGCGTGCTCCCTGAGTGCAAAGGGTGCTCCACAGACAATTCTCCCACCAGGAGGGAGACTCCCAAACCATTGGTGCTGAAGTTCTTCATAACAGAAGAACAGAGATGCCTGGTACCCATCTGGTTAGACAAGTGGGTCATTCTCAACACTTCCTTGCTATTGCAAATGGCAGTGGGAATGGCTCACTGTGTCTTACACATATCAGTGAGTGTCTTTTCATTTTTCTTCTCCACTCCATCTCTGAGGGGAGAACATATAATCTAGGTTGACCTCAAACTCATCACATAGCAATGGATGACCTTGAACTTATCCTCCTGCCTCCATCTCCCACAAGCTTGGATTAGAGATGCGCAACACCACATTTGGTTCTCTGCAGTGTTGGGAATCAAAGCCACACCTCCAGCTCTATGCTAGGCAAACACTCTAGCAACTGACGACATCCCTAGCCTCCTGCCTTCTGCAGGCTCGCCTGTCCTCATTTAGAATGATGGCAGTGGTAAAATCCTCAGGGAGGGGAGCTGCTTTGAGACTTCTGCCCAGTTGGGCCACAGAGGTTCCCACTTCCCAACCATCAAAGACCCAAGTCTAATCCTTCCACATTTCTGTATCTTGGACTCTAGTACCAGGACTTAACTATCCAGAGACTTAGGCTTCCTCAGAACCACATAATCTATGGAAGGAGAAGGAAGGCTCCCGGTCACTCACCTCAAGGCCGTGATGAGCTGGATCACAGCCTCACTTACCCAGAACCATGATGGCAGCCTCCGCAGCAGTAGGCATCCTACTTCCGACCTCAGTTCCCCCTGAGCCCTTGGCTGCAGGGTCCTTCCCAGGCTCAGGCTTTCCTGCTCCTGGGTCTGTTTCTTGCAGCAGATCCGTGGTCCCAACAGTCTCATCTCCCCAGTCCCTTGTGGCCAAGTTTGGTCCTGTGAGAGGCTCAGCCCCAGGCCCCGCCTCCTCCTCTGCATTTGCTCCTCCATTGCTGCTACTCCTCTTTGGTAGTGGTAGAAATGGACTCTCCTTTAGGGACTCTCCTTTAGGGATTTGGTCTTCCAGCGCAGTTCCAGGGCCCTCGGGATGTGGGTCCTGCTCACGAGGCTGGGTAACTGCTGGAGTTTCTGCAGAGGCCATGGGACTGCCCCTCTGGGTCTCAAGCATCTCCCCAGGAGCAGCCATCTCTTGTACAAGGATAGAGATCCTGGGCAGAGAGAAATACGGCCCTGAGGTTCAAAACAAGGACGTTTCTGGGTGCAGCTCAGTAGTAGAACCCTGCTTAGTGTCATAGTTAGCTTCAGCTGTCAACTTGACACAAACCTAGAGTCACCTGGAAACAGGAAACCCCAATGGAAGAACTGACCCGATTGGACTGGCCTGTGGCCATGTCTATGAAGCATTTTCTTAATTGCTCATTGATGCAGAAGGGCCTAGCCTAATATAGGCAGCACTTTCCCTAGATAGAGAGGCCTGGGCTATAAAAGAAAGGTAGTTGAGAAGCAGAGACACACAGCAAAGCTCAGGGAGTCCCACAGAAGAGGGGGAGGAAAGGTTGTAGAAGCCAGAGCGCTCAAGGACACCACAATAACATGGCCCACAGAATCTAACCAGGGTCCCTAGGGGCTCTAGAGACTGGAGGGGCAATCAGAAAGTTTGTATGGGCTGATCTAGGCCTTATGGTGGTTTGTTGAGATCTTAAAAGTGCTAGTAAAAAAAATAAAACAAATACTTAGGAGATTTACAAATACAAATGACAAAATTTCCTCAGTAGCATTCATATTATAGTATTTGTGATAACAAGAATACTAAACTGTATTTTCTAGTCACCATTTGTACAGCACTAGGCCTGGTTGCCTTATTTTTATTTAATTAAAATATAGTTACATGATCCCCTCACTAATAATCTTTAATGTGCTATGGAAGATAAAAATTTGAGTTTGTCGTGTATATGATCTAAAATCATGAGTTAGGAGTTAAGTAAAGATTAACAACATTTTAGTTCTTCATTTGTTCTCTTTTGGAAAATTAGCCTCCAAGTTTGAAGCTCAGCTGTCTCTGAAGATATAAACAAATAAAGAAATACATCTTTGCTTAAAAATGTTTACAAAAAGAAACACAAATATGGATTTTTTTTAGATTTCTTAAGAAGAAATAAAAAATAGTTAATATGGGCCTTCAGCTAGAGTACACAGGGCCCTTAGTTCCCTTCCCAGCTACACACACACACACACACACACATACACACATGCACGCACATGCACGCACGCACACACGCACACGTAGACTAAGATGGTACATTCTATGTTGCCTGTCCTTTATCATAGTAAAAAGAATGAAGAAAACTACAAGGCTTTTTTTCCAGCAGTGGAAAGCCCAGGCTGCTCTGAGGTTTAGGCCTTTGGAAAATGGACGCTGATCCCAAGTGGTGCCGTCGAGAGACCCGGCAGCCTGTCTACAGTTGAGCACGGGGCAAGAGTGTGGGGATGAGACAGCTGGCTGTGATGACAGTGGGAAGCAAGGTGGGCGCCAAGCTAAGCACCTGAGCCTGTCTCAGACCAAGGGGCCCAAAAAGCTTGACAAACCAGTTGCTGGGGGAGAATCCAGGTAGTCAGAGAAAAAGGCCATTGGCCACTTCAGCCCTCTCTGGTCTTCTCTTCCAGTGGGGTAGGAGGTGACCCCAGTGTCACGCAGGTCTATGTCATGTTTGATGTACAGCGCTTCCTTACCCACTGCATAGCACACCAACCACAGGCACTGCCAACAACTCCGGCTGCCGAGTTCAGGTATGGTCTCAGGACACCTAGACAAGCAGCCCCTTCTGGTCAGAACTGACACTCAATTTTTGATATGCTTTCCTCAAAAGACATTCTAGGGAAGGAAAGGCAGGTGGTGGCCTCCCCACTTCCTGAGACCTGCTTCGGATCTGGCGTGTCTGAAATTCAGCTCAGGGCTGTGTCTGGGGTGGGACATGCTTCTCACTGAGAGGTTTTTGGGGATCCCTAACATGTCAGAGGAAGTTCACTCCTTCCGCAATTGCTACATTCAGAGTTTTCCCAGGCACAGTTACCAGGAATCCCTCTTTCCAGGCTGCCAAGGCCCCTGGCACAGAGGGAGGGAGGTGGGATGTGGTCCTATTTCCTTCTAGAACCAATAGCCTCAGCAAAAAGAGGCTAGATAATCTCCCAATGCTGGGTCTTGTGGTGTCCGTGGTAGACCCGTGGGGCAGGTGGAGAAGGCATCAGGTAGAGTGTCTGAGAGAGGTCTAGAAGGCCAGGGCCCTCGCAGGCTGTGCGGACACAGCAGTACTGCACCAATGGTACTGAATACAGACAAAATGCAGCCGGCCAGTTCTCGCTTCCACCATTTCTGCTGAGCACAGTTCCTGTCCCAGGTGTCACTGCCTCTCCAGGACCTCTGACACAAACCTCCCCAAAGCTCTAGATGCCTCTACCTGCCCCGCCCTTTTCTCCTCGCCAGATTGTTTAGGACTTAAATGCTGGCCTAAAGAGTACAGATTTAGTGGTTTTGTGGGATGGTGGTGCTCAGTCCCCATGTCACAGTCAGTAAGATAATAGGACGACCACTTTCCCACACTGGGAACACGGGGAGAATAAAATGAGATGAGGCCTCAGAAGGCCAGGCCAGTGCTTGGAACGTGGTGAAGTGCTCTGTGAAGCCTGTTCGCTGAAGTAATTACTTATCTAAAAGTTTGTCGTTCTCAAACCTATTCTCCACTAGAATGAAAAACGAAAATCCAAGAATGGTACCTGAGAATCACTCCAGACCAAAGGAATCAAGATTTCTGGGCATGGATGTTTCTTTTTAATCCCTCCTCCCTAGTCCCAGGTAGATACCACTACCCCCAGGATCCCAAACATAAAATCTCCCCCTGTCAATCTAGTGCGGCTCTATGTATACAGTGGTCACCAACACATGTCACTGGCCTATTGGCCACGCCACACAGAAAGGACACAGCTGTTTGTGCCCATTGCCCAGCACAGAAGAACACCCCTTACCTGGAAAATGCCTCACCACCGTGGACTTCACTGGCCGGAGTTAGTGACCCTACGGGCGGAGGGCTAAGCCCTGAATTCAGTCTCATGCTCTCTTCTGAGAGCCAACAGTCAGGCTTGCTGGACGAGGTTCCTTGTCCTGCACTTTGCGACATCTTGAGATTGCTGAGGACCTCGCTGATTCTGTCGAGTGCGACAGACAACTCCAGGGTAGCCCCAGTATTCTCACCAGACGTTCCCAGAAGCCTGGGTTCCGCCTCTGTGGATGGGGGTGCTTGGCCTAGGCCAAGAACTTCAGTTTCCTGCCTCAGTGAAGCTCCCGCCTGGGTGGAGTCAGCTCCCTTCAGTGAAGTACTGATGATGAGAGGCAGCCTCTCCACTGCCCCCACTTCTGTGTCCTCCTTCTGGCTCTCTACAAGATAACGGGAAGGGGAAACATACTCTAAGGGACACAGATCACAAGGAGAAAACAAACACATATGTGTCATCCCACATACCACAACTGTGAAAGCCGAAGACTGGACGTAACCCATACTGCCATGGGAGATGTGTCCCACCCAAGGACGTGTTGTACAGCCACCCTTAAAATAAGAAAAGAGGGGCTGAAGAGATGATTCAGTAGGTAAGAGCACTGCCTACTCTTCGAGAGAATCCAGGTTTGATTCCCAGCACCTACAATGTAGCTCACAAGTGTCTGGAATCCAGTTCCAGGGGATCTGATGCCCTCTCTGGCCTCCATAGACAACACACACACACAGCGGTGCACAGATACATACAGACAAAACACCAACACGCACTGAGAGAAGAAGGGAGGATGTTTGTGAGTGTAAACCTATGACTACTTATGAGTGGTTTCCATAAAATGGACCTCACTGGAAAGATAAGGATTTTTTAATTGATCATAAATAAAGGCCTTAAGGAGAAAGGACAAAGGGCAGGCTTCTCTTAGTATACCTTATTTTATCAACCTGACTTTAGAACCCTAAAAATACTATTTAAAAAAGGAATTTTGTCTTTTGAGACAGGGTCTCACTGTGCAGCTTTGGCTGCCCTAAAACTCACAGAGATCTGCCCACTTCTGCCTTCTGTGTGCCAGGATTAAAGGTGTGCACCACACCACCAGGCACGTAAAGTTTTAAAAGAGAATGAGCTTTTATAAAAGAAACCCAGCCAAAGTCTTAATTCCAGCACTCTGGAAATGGAGGCAGGAGGACCAGAAGTTCAAGGTCATCCTCAGCTACGTGGTGGAGTTTGAGACCAGTCTGGGGTGCATGAGACCCTGTCTCAAAAGTCCAAACAAAACTAGAACAACCATGGCATGGGCAACGTACCTGGTACTTTATTCCAAACCATTACGTGTGCGGTAGAAACAGGCAGGTGGGCCCCCTCACCTACCCACAGTCTCCTGGCGGGGTCAGCTTGCTCACCTGTGGACCCCCTCACCTACCCACAGCCTCCTGGAGGGGTCAGCTTGCTCACAGCCTCCTGGCAGGGTCAGCTTGCTCACCTTGGGTACTCAGCGCATGCTTCGGCTTGACTCCCGTAGCTTCTGTTGGCTCCTTGTTCTAAAATAACCACCATAAAAACACCATCATTCAAACATCCACGGACCACCTGCCACATGCTCATATGTAGTTAGTTTATTTAATATGACCCACAGCAGTGTGGCTAGACATTGAGGCCGCATGTGCCCAGCTTCACAGCTAGAGCCCATGTCCTTTCCAGGGCTTCACTGAACGGCTATGGGGCTGGCTCCCTGAGAAGAGGTTCTAAATAGACTGGGATCTTAAGCCAAGAATGGGGAAGGAAAAGAAACCTCAATCCTCAATCACCATCAGCTCAGTTCTACTATTCCTACTGCAGTCGTCCTGGTTGAAACTGGATTCCAAAGTCAAATCCGTGCTCAGGATGGGGCAGCACAGCCAACGGTCACGTCAGGAGCTGAGGAACCGCCTCCAGCTGGGCTCTATCATTTAGGCCTAGAGTTGCCAGAGCTTTGTTGTTCAAGAGAAACTGAACTTAGATTTTTGCTTAAATCAGACTTACTAAAGCACAAAATTAAATAAAAAATAATTTATTAAAGCATCATTTGTATATAATAAATTACACATACAAACTATAAACTTTTTTGTGAGACTGTCTCACTATGTAGCCCTGAGAGTCTATAACTCTCTAGAACTCTCTATAAAGACCAGACTCATGGAAATCCACCTGCTTCTGCCTCCTGAGTACTGAGCCTAAAGGTGTCCACTACACCAGCTCAACCAGTGCACAAACGCAGGGCAATTCTGCTACCCCCGAAGGATCCCTAGCATTTTAATCCAAAGATTTCAATTTTCAGTGTTGGAAATCAATTAAAGTCTTTTCAATGCTGCAGATAACATGTGCCTTCAGCTGTTTTGATCTCAGGGCTCCCCATTAAGGAACTCTGTGGCTGGGGCCAGAGAGAAGCCAGTTAGCTGGTGAGTCACATTCCCTGGTGTACAGGGGATCAGGGACATGTTAACCGGAGCTATTGCTGTGACTTAACACCAGGAGCCACAGTTGGGATTTTACTGGTCAAAGGTTGAAACCACCAGCAAGAGAAGCAACCTTTTGTGGAGGGTTTCCTGACTGTCATGGAGTGGCCAGGTCCAGTGTAGGGCTCTGAGCATGTCTGTCAGGCCCTGGTCTCTAGCAGACCTTTTAGGTTTAAAGAAGTGCTGCGGAGAATCCCTCTGGACCAGCGCTCAGCATCCTTATCCTCAGCATCCTTACTAGAGGGCTCCTGGACACCGGCCACTCACTGCTCTGTTTCAAAATAGCCATAGCTGTTAAGTAACTTTCATGTGCTGGACACACTTTTCCAAACATTTCACAGATTAGTTCCCCCTTGTCCTGCCCACTCTTTGAGATAACATTTACTAATGGGATAATTCCTGGTTTACAGAGAGAAAATGAGAAACACAGAAGCAGAGGAGTTGGCCAGGTGCTAAAAGCAGAATTAAAAGCAACAAATTTGACCTGAGAGGTCAGGCTCCTGCCACACTGCTACACTAGGAAGGGTGACTCGGGGTCCCCCACCCAGCCCCCAGGCTGAGGTTAGACCCTGACTGTGGTGCCCCATCCTGTTAGCATGATTTGACTTCGGAATCCAGTCTCAATCAGAACTATAGCAGCTTGAATGTTGATCTGACTTAGGATGGGTAGAGTTTGATTTTCCATTCCTGACCTAAGTCCTTCGTTCATCAGCCAGAGCAGTTCCCAAAGTTCTCTGCTCCCCCAACCCCCTTGGCCAGGTTCCCCCAACTCCCTTGCCAGCTTTTCCTTGGCTTCAGTCACCTTTCTCAGCCCTGTTCCCTTCTCACTTCTTTGTGGCTCCAGAACATCAAGTATTGCATTCATTCGTTCATTCATTCATTTATTCAGTGTGTGTGTGTTAGGTGTGTGTGTGTGTGTGTAAGTGTGTGTGAGAGAGAACAAGCATGAGCCCAACCCTTGGAGATCACATGACAGTTTGCAGGAATTGGTCCCCTCGTTCTACCACTGATTTTCAGACTTTGTAGCAAGCGTCTTGCGAACCCCAGGACACTAAAGGACTCCATCGTTCTTTTCCTTCCTTCTTTCTCTTTCTGTCTTCCTTTTGGTGTGTGCACTTGTGCATGTGCCAAGGTGGCATGTGGAGTTCAAAGGACAATTTATGGAAGTCAGTTCTCTCTCTGTATGGTAGGCCTAGGGATTAAACTCGGTTTTTGAGAAGCCAGCCCAGATTTCCTCTTTCAATAGTAAGGACATGGAGAGCACAAAGCCCAATGCCCAAAGGACACGCACACATGCACGCACACACGCACGCACGCACACACACACACACACACACACAATACTTGTTGCTATAATCCTCACATCAAACAGCCCCCCCTCTCCCTTCCTCTGCAGGATCTTCTCTGCCACTTCTGTTTTAGGAAACCAGAGGCATTGCCACAGACCTCCTCGTCAGCAGAAACTGCCTTGCACACTGTCCTGAGGCAGTCCCTGTTGATGCCAACAGTCCTTCCTCCCCCTCCTTTTCTTCAGTATAGGAAGGCTCCTGTGTCCACCTCTCGTGAGGGCTGATGTCCTGAACAGCGCGACTGTGTTGGACTGAAGCTGACGGCAGCTGGCTTCTAGTGATAATCTAATACATCATTACAGAGTTCGGTGAGTACTTTAGAAGATGAAGCAGGTATGGGTGGTGTCTGGGGAAGTAATTCAATGGCGGGACACCTGCCTTGTATAAGTGAGGCCCTGAGTTCAATCCCCAGCACTACCACCAAAATATAATATAATCAAGGAGGACCTTGACCAAGCCCTGGCATAATTTCCGAATTTAACAGCCAGTGTTAGGATGTAATTCAGTTCTACATGTGATTACTACACCCCTGTTCTCTTAAGAAACAAACGGAGGGTCTCCAGAAGTCTCTGGAGTCTAGATTTCAGCATGAGGAATTTGTTACAGGCCTGTGGTTCCATCTCGTTAGAAGGGTTCTCTGAGCTGCAAATTCACCCATGACAAGCAGAAGCATGCCATGATCCAATTAACAATTGGTAATCTAATGGGAAGACAGGACCCAAACCAGCAGACAGTCAACCATACACAAATTAAACACAAAGAGCAGAGGGAGATGCAGTGGGGCCTCGCAGACAGGTAAAGCTGCAGGAATAAACAGTCCCTGACCTCCTCTGTCCCAGACGCCTATGTATTTACAACACGGGCGCCAGTTAGTTCCGTTATTCTATACAGAGCCCTTATGAATAAACAGGAAAGGGTAGAAAACAAAATAAAGAACAGGAGGAAAATTTGTGAACAGGTCATTCACTGAAAATGCAAATGGTTTTAGACGATGGTCCATCCTTTAGTAAAAGATGTCAAAGCGTTAGGACACGTTCTCTCTGTTCTTGGTTATGTCTGAGGTTTTCCTGAATAAAAAGACAACTTTCTATGAATTCAGAAGAAGTGTTAACTTTATAAGGCATCACCAACTGTTTCATTGGGGCCTGATTCAATAAGGAAACTAAGAAGTTTAAGTTTGAGACTTTCGGGGATGCTTGAATACTGACTTCAAATAATAGCAAAAGCGTTTACTTCAGGGCCATACTAACAGCAATACAATTGTTTCTGAGGTAGTCCATGTCTTTTAGACACAAATGCTGAACTCTACTTGTTTGCTGATTGTAGTGCTAGGTTTGAAATGCGAGCCTTGGGCATGCTGGGTAAGAGACCCCTTTGAACACCACTCACTCCAGATTAGTTCCCTGCCTTAGATAAGCATGAGATTACTTTCTCTGAAACACACATTACCCAACACTTTGATTCTCTTCCACTATTCTTTTCATTCTGATGAATGAAAAATTGAGATCGTATGTTCATTTTTAATATTTCAATATGGCAAACCTCAAAAGAAACAAACCTCTTCAAGAAACAAACCTCTTCAAGAACCCATAGTATCCAGGACACGCAGGAAATGTAGTATTTTTCTCCAGCCTCAGTCTTCCTTTCAACTTTAAATTGTCCGTTCATTATACATTGTATCGTATAGTTCTTAATGTATGTAATGTGCTATGCAAATAGCTATTATCTTGTAGCAGAAACATCCCCTAGGAGGGGGTGGAATTCCCTCCCCACACTCAGGAAAACTAAGAAGAAAGCTCTTTACTGAAGGCATAGTGAACCTCCACCCACAACCCCTGGAATGACTTCTAATTGTTTTAGACAACGAACGGCAGGCATATAGCCCAGACTGACCCTGATCCTCCTGCAGGCCTGTGCTGCCAAACCTTGCCTTAAAATGGACTTTTTGAAGGCTGGTTAGGCTTTGCACATAATGTGCTTTTAGTTGCAAAGCCTTTATCTGGGCAGCTCACAAGAACCTGGAAATTGAGTCTCCTGAGGACCCAGTGGTGGAATCAGAAGGAGATGCTTTTCATGTGAGGTTTTTTTGGGTTTTTTTTTTTTATTTATATTTGATAAATCTCTCTCTCTCTTTTTCTCTCTCTCCCTCTCTCTCTTTAATGTTAGGGATTCAACTTAGGGCCACCTATATCAAAAGTGTTTTCTTTTACCGTGTTAAACTATCAGATTAAAAGCATTTTAGTTTTCCTTTCTAAGGCCATTGATTCAACTTATTTTAGTAATGTAATTAGATTCGGCCAGAGCAGTGCACTCCTTGTGCCCCATTTTCTCTGCAGGCCAGCATTTCCAGGGCTGCAGAGCAGGGATCAGGGAGCTGAGGGAGAGGGGAGAGGTGTGCTCTAGGAGGGAGGAGCTTCAGACAGGGAGAAGAGGGACAGCTGGGTGGCCTGGGACCTGCGGGACTGGGCAGGAAGTGTCCTCTTTTAGTTCAGGCCTCATTCACACCAATCCATTCTATGCCAGGGGCAAGTGATAATCACAGAATCTTAAATGGTGGCTCCAGGCTATCTGGTGTTGCTAAGTGGCTGGTCTTCAGCTGTTCTCAAACAAGGTGTTCCCTACACACACACAGAGAGACACACACACACAGAGACACACAGACACACACAGAGACACACACACAGAGACACACACAGAGACACACACACAGTGTGCCCAGTGGACACGCTTCTATTAGCCAGCGGTTGTGTGATTATACAATCCTTGGGAACAGCCACTCTCAGAAATGCCATCTTTTACCCTGGGGGGGGGGGGATCATACCTCTGCTTGCTGTCCCTTGTTAGTCACCGTCAACACTCACTTTCCCACAGGCAGCTATACACTTTGCCATCTCTGGGACAAAGCACAGTGTAGGGGACAATGAGGGTTTGGTTGTTTGAGTAAGGGCTGTGGGATAAAATGACCATGTCTCTTACTCCAGATATAAAGGGACAGGAAGGGGCAAGAGAGAAGTCCCGGGGGTGTTAAGCACAGCACCCTCCGTTTCCTCACATCTAGTTTGTCCTTCACATCTAGGTGGCAGAGTTGCCCAAGGAGCTACATTCTGACTGGACCACTACCTCATTCTTTCTTAGAGCGGGGATCATTGAACCATATGGAAATCCATCTATTCCCCCTAAGTGTCCATCTTTCATTTCCCCATCAACGGGACACAGAACACATGATAAGGCAACAATGTCCCCAGCTCTTCTAAGAATAATTTCCAGGCAGGTCTTCCCACCAGGGTCCCGGAACACCCTCCAGCCAGGGCAGGGAATCCAGAACCAACCTCCTCGGAGCCAGCAGCCAGGCTGCCCTTCCTCCAGGGCACGTTCTCTTGCGTGATTAAATCGTCCACCTTTGAGTTCTGGAATGTGGCCCCTACCAAAGTAATAGCCCTGTCCAAAGCCACCATCATCTTGAAGAGGGCTTCGAGCCTGGCACCATGCTGGGCACCCTCCTGCCGCACTGCCCTCACCAGCTCCAGGACCTCAGGCCACGCAGCCTGAGCAGTGGCTGGAAGAGGGCCGTCAGGCGCTGACAGACTCAACTCGCGGGAGGCCTCCAGCCGATGTAGACCTTGTTCCAGCTGGTGCATGCCCCGGCACACACATTGCAGCTTCTCTGTGACATCTTCTTGGAAATGTAGGAGTCTGTCAACCTTCTCGCTCAGCACCGTAAGTTTGCTGTCCATGTTGGCTAAGGGAGCAATGCCCAAGGCTGGCAGCCCCAGGGGCCCTAGACCCTCGGGATCCCCCTCTGGAACTCCTGACATCCCAATTCCGGCTAGGTAAGGGCAAAGGCAAGGCCACGAAGAAGCGCCACAGCCCCGCTTCTCACTTAGGCGGTAACGTCTGGAAGGCCATTGTTCTGCTGCCTGGGCGTTTGGGGAGCTGAGAGGGCCAGGTTTTCCGTGTGTCTGCTTTGCCTGTCTTCCACTCAGCCACTGCCAGGGAGTGACAGGGTGAGTTTAGCCCAGGCCCTTTTCTTGGGGCCTCTTTGACATCATGGTGACAATTAACATTCCCCTTTGAGAGGCTGCTGATGGCAGTTATTTTAAGAATCTGCCCAGAGCAGGCTGCGGTTCATACAGCCGATGCTAAAGGCTAGAAGAAAATTATCTTTTAACATGAAAACTGGGGAGGGGAAATCCACGGGACCCCACCTCTAGATGAAGAATTATAGGCAACTAAGGAGAGTTGAGAACAGGAGAATTAGTCTTCCCCAGAGATGAACCCACGAACTGATTATCCAATACCAAGTGAACAGACCTGAACTAATATACAAGTAACACTAAACAAACTTAGTAGGTTGTAGTTATAAATTGATGTGCTTTTATACATATAATAACAATGAAGAAAAAGACATGAATTTGAATGGATTGGAGGGGTTGGATGGAGGAAAGGGAAAGGAGAAATTATATTATTGCAATTTAATTAAAAATAAAAATAACCAGACAGTGGTGGCACACACCTTTAATCCCAGCACTCGATGGCAAGTGAATCTCTGAGTTTGAGGCCAGCCTGGTCTACAGAGCCAGTTTCAGAAGAGCCAGGGCTACACAGAGAAACCCTGTCTCAAGAAACCAAAACAAAATAAAAATAAAACACAGGAAAACATGTTCTCATCATACAAATTCACTTTGGTCTTTTTTGTTGTTGTTGCTGTTATGTTTTTTTTGTTTGTTTGTTTGTTTTTGAGACAGGGCTTCTCTGTAGATTTGGAGCCTGCTAGCTCTTGTAGACCAGGCTGGCCTCAAACTCACAGAGAACCGCCTACCTCTGCCTCCAAAGTGCTGGGATTAAAGGCGTGCACCACTACCACCCAGCCACTTTGGTCTTTTAAAATGATAAAGTCATATATATATCAACAAATTGTCTTAAATTAAATTTCCTTGTAATTTATTATTAGCAAAAAAAAAAAAAAAACCTAAGCAAGTATATCTTTTAGCCAGCCTATGCAAGGCAGTTTTCAGAATTGCAGACGCTGAAGACATGGTGTCCAGAGCCATCCACACACCTAATTCGCGGCAGAGAGCAGAGCAAAGTGCAAGGCAATTCCACCAAGTTCTGCCTTTCACCGTCACGAAAATTTTACTGTTTCTGCAAACTAAAAACGAGCTTTTCGTTATTGTTTCCTGCTTGGATGATACATGAAGTGTGGATTTGGACCGCCTGTGGGGAGAGTCTGCAGGTCTTGCCCCTACCAAACATGCACTTGGGTCCCCACTTGTACCTAAAAATAGATCTGAGAAACAACAACTTAGGCTACTCACCAAGTGCAACCCCGCGAGTCCTGTTCCTTAAAAAGGCCCTCTGGGGACAATTATCAGTGACCCTCTGGCTCCCAGCAATGACAATGTGTGAACCATACAGGTACCAAAAAAAAAAAAAAAAAAGCTGTGTGCCAAGGCTGACCTCCTTAAACTCCAGGGTTGAGCAGAGTTTGGAAGGTCACAGTTTCAGGGCTACAATTATGTTGGGTGATCTTTAGCCTACCAAACAGCTATCTTGACCCACCTATGTCAGCTCTAACATCCTGACAGATGCATTAACTTAGCAGAACCCTCCCCTCTACCACTGGAAGAGCTAAGAATGCTCTCAGGGCTGGAGAGGCGGCTCGAGATGGCTCAGCAGCTTAGTTGCCAGCACTCCCAGGGTGACTGACAACTGTAACTCCTGTTCCAGGGGAAAAGATAATTTGGGGTATATTTGCATACACACATATGTATAGTGTATGTGTGTATACATGACAATTTCAACATCAAATCCATTTTGAAGCTCGCTTTTTCTTTTTTTAAATAAAAAGTTCATTCTTTCGCTGTAATACAGAGAATTAGCACCCCGTTCTCCATCTTCACATGAACATTTCTCCTGTTTGTCCCTTTGTTCAAATAATGCTGTTCCCTGAAACTTGTGTGCTAGGGACCCTGTCTCAAAACAAGAGAAAGCTGCATTGTGTGTTGAAAATGATACGTATGCTGTCTTCTCTCTCCTGCTGTGACTCTGCTTCCTGAACTGTTAAGAGAAGTGTGGTGGTTTGATGAGATTCCCCGCCCCCCCCCAGAGGACTCTGACATTTGAATGTTTGGGTTCCAGTTGGGGCCCCTATTTGGGAAGGTTTAGGAGGTGTGGCCTTGCTAGGGGAAGTATGCCTCTGGGGTTTTAAAAGATTCCCTCCATTTCCAGTTCAACTCTCTGTTTCAAGATGCAAGCCCCCAGCTCTTCCTGCCTCCACGCTGTGGTACTGGTGCCTTGCTTCCCCACTGTGATGGAGATGGATCCAGGGCCATGAGCCCAACATAAGCCCTCCCTTCTTTAAGTTGCGTTGGCCATGGTGCCTTACCACTACAACAGGAAAGTGAGTGAGGCATGGAGAGTCAAGAGGACTTCATAAGAGAGCCTATTTTTAGAGAACAAAAACATTCCTAAAAATCAGCATGGTTCCACTACCTTTCATCCTTTATTTTGTCCTAAAAGTCTACAGCTTGAATTCATCAGTTTTCCTTTCTAAATGAAACAGAGAGCAGGCCTGGGAAGCAGCTGCAGTTTCCTTTTCCTCTGCTCGGTCCTGCAGTAAGGAGACATTGACCGTACTGCCAGGTTTCTGTGTGCGTGGGTATGAAGCAGCCTAGGGAAAGCAGAGCAAAGGCCGCATCTGTGACCACCTCCCCTCTGCCTCCCAAATTAGATTATAACTATTGTATATGAACCTTCTGCAGCACTATCTTCTCTTCACAGTTGTGTTTCTAGAAAGTTTATTGTCCTTTGACATGCCATAGAAGTACAGCTTTTGACAAAGGAACATAAATGGCATTTTTGAGATACTAAGACATCATTCACAATGCCAACAGAGTGGACTTCAGGTACAGTTTACCTAAGAACCACTCCTTTTTTTATCACTTAGATGCTTAAAATTGGCCACAAAAGGTTTTTAGGCACTAACTTCTTGACACTTGTCACCCCACAATGTAAGATTAAATCAGACCAGATCTGAACCCTGGGATACTGACCCCCAGCAGTATAGACAGCAGCACCAAGAGATTCACTCTTAATTAACTGTTTCCCACACCTCTACACAGAGAAGTACACACTGTGAAGATTTGTCACTCATATTGGTTTAATAAAATGCTGATTGGCCAGTAGCCAGGCAAGAATTATAGGCGGGGCAAATGGAGTAGGAGAATCCTGGGAAGAGGAGAGGCAGAGGCACAGTCATCAGTCAGATGCAGAGGGAGCAAGATGAGAATGCCTCGCTGAGAAAAGGTAACAAGCCATGTGGCTAAACATAGACAAGAATTCTGGGTTAATTTAAGTTTTAAGAGCTAGTTAGTAATAAGCCTGAGCTATAGGCCAAACAGTTTATAATTAATATATGTCTCTGTGTGTTTCTTTGGAACTGAATGACTGCAGGACCAGGTGGGACAGAAACTTCCATGTACAGAGAGGGCACAGCTAAAAGACTATACCCCTCTGACAATGCTTCTAGGGAAACTCAAAGGTCCACAGTACAAGAGTTCTATGTACTGGAATAGATGAGGCCCCTTGGAATCTATCCCCAGATGATATTCAACAAAACAGAGCAGCCAAAAGCCTCAGCCACTAAATCACATTCTGAAATACACAGAGACAAAAAAAAAGATCATCAGTTATTCAAAGAAAACTCCCAAAGAAATTAGGAGATTAAAGAGAAAAGAAAGATAATCAAGGAGGAAACAGAGAATGTAAGAAGCAGAATAATTCAAAATGGTTGCCATTCATAAAATTTATAGTCACAAAACAGGTAAAATAAAGACATAGGGTAAGTGAGATGGGTCTGTGGGTAAAAAGGTACACAGATTAGCCAATCAATATAAAAGAAACAGACAAATGTAACTTAAAATTAAAAATAACAACACATGAAAATGAAGAAATAAGAAGCAAAGAGAAGTGTTGGAGAGATAGCTCGGTGGTTAAAGAACACTGCTCTTCTAGAAGACCTGTGTTTGATTTCCAGCACCCACACAACTCCAGGGCCAGAAGACCTGACACCTTCTTTTCTCCTCCTTGGGGACCCAGCACATATGCAGTACGCAGACTACATGCAGGCCAAAACACCCACACACATAAAATAAAATCAAAATTATTTTAAGAAAATAAGCAAAAATATATTAAAGTATGTACCCAGCTAGTGTCACATCTAATTAACTTGGGTTTCAGAAACTTAGCAAACACTATACTGTGCAATTTTATGGCAGAGATGACCCAACAGCTAGGAGTCCACACTGCCTTTCCAGAGAACCAGCATCCAGGCCCAGTAGCTCCCAGAAGCCTGTAACTCCAGTTCCAAAGGATCCAACACCCCTGGCCTCTATGGGAACCAGCTTACAATGTACATGACACACACACACACACTTTAAAATAGAATAAGTTTTTAATTAAAAAATAAATAAAAGCTTCTGGAAATTAGAAAACAAAACTGCACAATGAACCACAAACCCAACAATGAGAAGTCAGACATCAGACTTCTTATCCTAACAACTGGACACCAGAAAACAGCTGGGTTGGACGTAGACTTCTAGGTTGGAAAGCCTTTCCCTTTGACGACAATGCACCCTTGCCAGAGAATTCTAGAGCTCGCAAAAATGTAGAAACACACTTTAGTTTCCTTTCCTCCCTGTGCCCTCCCCAGGGGAGCTGCTTTAAAGCTGAACTCCAGTCAAAGCAGGGGAAAAAAGTTTCAACACAGTCTCGATGCTGAAGCAGGAGAATGAAGAATTCTCCCGAGGGATGATTC